AGTTTCTACAATGCAGTTGTCCCAGGGTCAGTCATCTTTCATTATTTGCACGGTCACTGATGTGCCTTTTGTCTTAAACATTAAATAAATACGAATTCAGGTGTTTCTTGGATATATATTATTATCCTAAAAAGATGCAGATTGAGATATGAACAGTTGTCTTCTTCACATAAAGATTCTATTGATTGGTTTCATCTCAACATTATTTATTACCAGATTTTGGGCGCAAACACCTTGTCTCTCAGAGTTCCCATGAAATAAATATGGCCACTGGTTTCACTATGCAAATTAAAGAGATGAATGGTGAAGGTTAGAGACAGGAAATTTAGTAAACCTTGTCTTGTTGGATAGAACAGATGAAGGGATTCAGTGACCTTAAATTTAAGGGGTCTTAAATTTGTAAGGAGCTAAATCAGGCCTTAGAGATTTTATAGAAATGGGAAGGAAAGGAGAAATTGGGCTATGTCTGATATGGTGACATCTTGGTAGGTCAGGAGTCTGACTGATCATTCAGTTTTTGTCTTGCAAATGGTTCTGGAGAGCATTTGAGAGTAGCAATATGACCTCCTCAAATGGATCACTTCAGCCTTAGAAGGCAGCCTCAGCATCCTGGTGATTGAATTCATTGGGGGTGGCAATCAGCTCTGTGAGATTCCCTTTGTGTGTGGGTAGTTACCATCTGTGGTTGTAAAGATGTTGATCAATCAGTCTCTATATCCCTAGAATCCAAGGTAACTACAGCAGAGTGGCTCAGTGTTGTGGATGGACAAAGTTTAAGGGATGAAGTAGAACCAAAGAGTAAAAAAAATGGATCAAGTTAGGCCAGCAATGGATACCTTCTTCATGCTCCCTATTTTCTCCTGATATTTTAACACATTGTTGATGGCTATTGTTTTACATTAAGAAAATGTTGCTACAAACAATATTATTTTTCCCTGTTCCTTTCTCCAAAGGACAATGGCCTGAGACTACTTTTATTTCCCCATTTCATTCTGCCTGCTATATCACTTCATAATTCTTTCCAAATGTTATTTTTCATTGTCTTCCTGTTTCTACTTCTTTTAGTACATTTTCTCTGATAGTTCATTAAATTAATCTTCTTTACAGGTGTCTGCTGTACTTCCTGAAACCTTTCTTAGCTTAGAGATTACTAGCTCCCTGAGAGTCTATACTGAGTTTCATGTTCAAGACTGTATCTTTTATCTATCTTTTATTATATCATCTTCCTCATAAAGAAATCAGTTTCAGTATACCTGTTCTCGCTTTAGAACACTTTTTAAAAAAACCTATTGTCACTTTGGGCGTGCAGAGGGTACATCCTCCTGTTCACTGCAAGTCTGAAGGTATGTCTTCTCTTCCCCTCACTGGAGAACTGTGTCTTGGCTGATGGGAGGTCCCTGAACTGCAGCCTCTCTATATGTTTTCCTGTGGGTCCTTTGTCTTCAGTGTTGGAGCTGACTAGCTGATCCTTACTATCTATAAAATAAATTTTATCCTTTGTCTGAATGTTTATAAGACATGTATTTTTCTGTATAAAGGCCTCAGAGATTTTACTAGAATATATCAAGATTGTATCTGTTTCCATCAATCCTGCTAGAACTTATTTACTTTGCCCAATTCTCAGGTTCAGACCTTTAATTCAAATCAACAAGTATTTTCTTTTCCTTGACATGGCAGACTATGCCTATTAGTGCCTTTCTCCACCTGTTCTAGTTTCTCCTTTATATCCTCCTCTCCAGTCTGCCTCCTCATCTCTCCGTGTGTTTTTTTTTTTTTTTGACAATGTCCATGATGCTTTTGTGTTTTGAAATATTCCCTGAAATGAATTTGTCTAGGCCAGTTTTTGTGGTCTTAATAGTTAATAGTGTTCTGAACTGCAGCTGCTTCATTAAATTTTTAGCTCTAAGAATTGAGTGCTTAAGTTCCAAGATCTTTCTCCCTTGAATGTCCTGAAGTGCTGTCATTATTGTCCTTCAAGCTGTTCTCCCAGGACTTTGGGTGTGTCACACCCACCTCAAGCTCCTTGACTTTGCAGGTATTAGTTTTCTGGGGACTCCGCAGGATTCAGGTTCGGTTGTTGAAATAGTTAATAGTAGCTATATTTGTGTTTGGAAATAAGAGGTTTCTTATACTGCGGCTAACAGGCAGAGGAGCAGTGGTTAAACCATTCTTCCTCCAACAGTAGGAAGCCACTTCATAATCTCATCTTCTTCCTTTGCCCCAGCCATGAGAGATGAGAGACAAATCTTTGATTAGTTCCTTTCTGACTCTGTAGCTCTCAAAATGATTCAAAAGTCAAATTGCTTTGTTGGGCTTTATACTAGTCCTTTAGTATGTTTTACGCAAGGCTCTGAAACTCTCTGGCTCTTGAACAAAATTGACTTTAAGTTCTGTCTTCAGGTACTTCAGTAGATGCTGAGTCCTACTGGACTCATGATAGCAGCCTCAGAAAGACAGATCCTTGAGCTGGTGGAAGGGGACAAATAGTATAGGTGGCCATGCTTTTCTAATATTTGCTCAGTTCTTTAGTAAAATAATTAGTAGGCTATAACTTAACACATCAGCTTATTACAGATTTCATTACATAATTTTTGTATGTGTGTGGATGTGCTCGTGTGTGTGTGTGTGTGTGTGTGTGTGTGTGTGTGTGTGTGTGTGTGGTGTATGAATGTGTGAACATTTATGTGTGTGTGTTTGGGGGTATACTCACCACTGTGTATGCCTGTAGAGACCAGTGATTGATGTTGGCTATCTTCTATGATGGGTCTCCAGCTTATATTTTAAGGCAAGCTCTCATAAGATCAGTGGAGCCCACCAGTGGCCAGACTATCTGCCAATTCACTCTGAAGACTTGCCTGTCTTTTTCATCCTCCTCATGCTAGGGTTAGAGATACATGCCCAGCTTTTATGTGGGAGCAGAGAATCTGAATTCAGGTCAGCATGCTTCTGCAGTAGCCTCTTTACTGAGATGAGATGCTTCAGAGGTATTCTCCCCACCACGGCAACCATCTGCTCTTTTATGATTATTTTGCAGATAGGAGCAATCGTGCAATAATGCTTGTGGTATATGACCTCCTTTGCCTACATAAAACTCAAATGACTGGAAGGAGATACCTGACTCATGTTGGGTCAGATGGAGTTGCTGTGATTAGAGTGAGAATTTAAAGACCATTGGCAGGCCCCAGGCTAGTGGGAACGGAGTGCTGGCTAAGTTAGATGTCAAGGATATGAGATAAGCATTTCTACTATCCTCACAGAGAAGCCAGGGCCCATTTTCACAAAGGTGAGAGCAGCTAAAATCAAGGTTAGTGGAGAGTGATATAGGCAGAGAATTCGGCTGCTGATGGTCTTCTGGACTTGGTTCCGAACTTTTCTTTTTTGACTGCATTTTCTCTTTGTGGGATTCACAGGGTGGATGGCTTCTACAAGGTAACATACTCTGACTATATTTTTGTATAATTGCAATAGTTTGTGTGAGTTCCTGTGACTTGAATCTGAAGGATCCCTAAGATACTTGTTTGCCTAACTAACAATATGAGGATGTACCTCAAACGAAGATGGAAAAGTGTCCTGCAAAGCAAAACAGAACCAAACAGACATGGACCCTGGAGGACTTACTGGCTCTTATATGTATATCTCTCATCTGGATGTATTCTTTCTATGGGCTTTAACAACTTTCTATATTAAGCCAGGCCTATTAGTCTTGTGTATAATTCAATTCCATTCAAAAATTGGAGCATTTACTTAAGCAATGTATTGAGTTAGATATTGGTTACATTTGGGAATCAAAGGGCTTTTTATCCCCCCCCCCTACTTTGAGAGTTAGATAGGAGATGGGAAAAACATCGGTTGCCAGGCTGGTCGTTTGATGCTAAGCCTCCATCTCCTCCTCCTCCTCAGCGTCCTCCTATCTGAGCAAAAAAAAAAAAAAAATTATCTTTTTCCATAAAGAAAAAAAATGTGTCTGTGGAGAAGACTGCTACTTGAAGAGTTTCTTCCAAACTTTTATCTGAGCAGATAGAAGATGTTACAAAATCATGCTTCCTTTATAGCCCCCACTTTAGGGCCTCCCAGGCAATGGGAAAAGGCAGATGTCCCTCCTTCAAACTACCCTTTCTGTCATTTGCAAGCAATAAAGTTAGGGAAAACCAAACCAAATCATTCCTTTTTTGTATTGCTAAGCTTTCAGTCAGGGTTATTTATTTATTTATTTATTTATTTATTTATTTATGCTGCCCTGTATAGTTCAACAGAAGAAATGAAAATACAGGATTTAAATAATCAGAAAAGGTACAAGAGCAACCATGAGCATGATGTGCAAAGGGTTGCATAGGAAACTTGAAGAGACTACAGGAGGTGGTGGGGTAGTTATTCAAGCAAACATGCCAGCGACCAGAACAGAATGAGACTATGGACAGGGCTGCTCTGCCTGGAGATGGGCTTCAGAGACAGGCACACTAGAGATGCCCCCTCTGCTAAAACAAAACAAAACAAAACAAAACAAAACAAAACAAAACAAAACAAAACAAAAACTACACAAGATAGTAAGAGGGGTGAATACTTGGATTTTTCCTTTACTGACATATTCCAGTATCCTTCATAGGGTGAGTCTACATAGAATCAGTGAGAAGGGGTTCTAGTTTTCCAAGACACAGAGCAGAGTATGAGTGCAGGAGGTGGTTCTGAGAACAAGCCAAGAAACTCCACAGTAGCAGAAGCCACAGGTGTGATGCAAGAGAGTGAATCACTTGAGGATTGAGGTCTGTGTCGGGTGAGGTCCTTGTGCAGAGTGTGCATATGAATGTGGCAGATATTAAGGAGTTTCTGGCACCTCTGATGCACAAGAGGATCCTGTAGGCAAGAGAGAACTGGTAGAAAGCTTTCCAGCAGGATTCTGGAATTGGTTGATTCCAAAGACAAGGTAGGAGTGGGATGTTCTCCAACATGGTTCACAAAGTGAGAAATCAGGTAGAGTTTATGTATTAACATCATTGAGATGTACACTTCCCTAGCAGTGGGGAATACCACGATGATGACGATGGTTTCCCCAAGGCTCAGCTTGTCCACTGCACTGCGGACATGCTGATTCCTATGATTTTCCTCAAATGGGGAAACCCCAGTGCATAATTTGTGAAAATGAGGCATTGTATTTACCCTCTCCCATATTGAAAAACAACAACAACCCCCCAAAAAAACTTTATTGAGATATGGACAGGATGCTTAGTAGGTAAAAGGTGCTTGCTGTTTGAGTGTGGCAGACTGATTTTGATTCCTGGAACCCACATAAAGGTGGAAGGAGCGAAGCTGCTCTAGAACTTGTCCTCTGACCTCCGTACACATGCTATGGCATGTTTGTGTCTGCATTCACATGCCATGTACACAAAAAATAATAATAAATGATTAAGAAAATCCTTAGAGACACCAAGAAGATGGCAAGCTCGGGTAGTGGGATTATATGGAGACCTGTCTAGTGGGAGCATCTTCTTGCTGAATTTTCAGATTAGTTACTACCTTAGAACCATCACAACTCTGCTTAATTTTCCCTCTTCTTAATGGCTAAATGTATGGTCATGAGTTCAATACAGACACATGAGGAGGAAGAAATAAAGGAAAAGAATTTGTGGTCACAGAGAAGTGTAAACAGGGCGACGAACAGAAAGTCAGAGAGGAGGAAAGAGGGAGTAGAAAATGACTCATCTCTAGAGCTTTTTCGTATAGAAACAACAACAAATAAAACAATTCAGGGAAGGCTTGAGCCTTGAATGAACATCAGGAGTGTGTAAACATGGTGAATGTTGCCAGGCATGGCAAGATAGCCTTATCGTCACAGCAGCTCAGGGAACCAAGGCAGAAGTCAGCCTCAGACTCCTTAAGGACTTGAAACTAACCTGGCACCATAGCAAGACCCCACCTCAAAGCTAATATAACAAAAATTGGACATAGATCTGAGTAGATATTTATGATTGCTTCAAAAATCATATTCTTTTACACTTAATGAAACATAACACTCTAAAAGTTCCCTCATAGCCAACTTTCTCGGGTGGGTGGTCCTTTTTGGCTAATACCATCTTTGACCTCTCTGTTTTCTGCATAAAATGAAAGCTTGGTTAAAAAAGTAGAGCCACTTTGTTACTGTTAAAATCTTCTGCTCGTCTCTCTCTTGCCTCTTTGCTTAAATGTTGGTCATTTATTGCTTCTATAATAATTAATCTGGGGTTATTACTTTAATTATATGTAAGTAACAAGGAATACATATGCTTTGATATTTTAATTTTCACTGAAGAGAATGGAGATGTTAATTTAAAGTTGCTAAATAGCCAATAAAATTAACCATCATAAAGTTTAATATTGTTGCCTTAAACTAATTAAGCCATGTGTTTCTGAACTTTATTCATTTTTTCCCTTCTAGCAGATGGTCTTTCCTCCTATTTCAAGGCAGCAGCCAATACACCTTTTAAACAATGTTTGTTGCTCATTTGAAGCAAAGCAGAACTTTAACAAGATACTGTGTGTGGTAGTTTGAATGAGAATGGGCTGTGGTGTCTCACAGCAATAGAAATGTAGCTAAGCCACTTTGCTTCTACAGAATTGTGTATGTTGTTTCAAAGTTGTTTATTTCATTTTTTTTTTTACATTTTCCCAAATGCCAAACCCATTTATGTCGCTTTTGAAGAGGGCATAATCCCCTCCCTCCCTTTGTCCCTTTGTCCCCCCTCTCTCTCTACCCTCCTCTCTTCCTTTCTTTTAATCACATTATGATATTTATTCCCCTCCGACTGTCATTGATGATTCTTGCCTTCCAGGTGGTTGCAATTAACCAACCTTCCTCAGCCAAGACAAGATAAAATGAAGAACAAATTGTTGATTAAACATGTCAAATGTCTTTTTTTTTGTGAGAAAACTTGTAACACATGAGAAGTACATAGCTGATAAATTTTGCAGGAAACAGTCAATAGAAAGATTTGGTGTCCAAGTGTAACTGGTGTAATTTTGTAGGGCAGAGAGGGTTCTTCTTTGTGGTTCTGCCTCAGTACATGCTTTTAACTGACAAATCCATTTAGATTGACAGAAGAGGTCTGTTCCTTGGAACTAAAAATGAAATGCCGGGGTTTTAAAACATGGGTAGAAATGGGCACTTGTAAAGTATTTCCGAAGGAACCCTGCATTGTTATGAAGAGAAATGCTTCACAGAGAATAAATCTGGCCCTGAAAGTACTAATCCATAGTGTATTGTTTGGAGGAGTGCCATAGAGCAATGTCGCTCTGACTTCACCAAAATTTGATACTGAAAGCTTTAAGTGGGCCTGGAGCATTCTCAGACTGTACTGAAATCACACTGCCACACATTTCTACTGTAGAATTATTCTCAATGCTTATTTTTTTTTCAGAAAAATTTAGTTAACCAAAGCCAGATATGTAGGTCAATTCTGCCTTCAGCATATCAATGAAGAAATATAAGAATGAGAGTAAAGGAACTTAAAACATTGAAATTTCACCTCAGTACTGAAGACCATCCTAAGTATTATTTCTGCACCATTTTGATTATAACATGTATAATGTAAGTTCAAATGCAGAATCTCAGGCCACCAAAGCCTATATAATACAATGTTTTAGAGACAGAAATTTACATTTGTCACTTGTGTTCTCTGAAAGTCTGTAGCCACATAAAGCTGTCCATTCCACAAAGGACAGTGTTGAGGTTTTTAACTCTGGAGAACAAAATAGATATCTCCAAATCTGGATTTATGTGCAAGAAAGTAATGAGATTCTGGAATGTTTGGTTAGATTTTCATGATTTGGGAAGGTCTTTAGGTAGTCTTGCTTTCTGTTGCAGGCATAGTTGTTTGAGGAAAGAATAAAAAAGAGGATGGAAAGGAAGAAAAAAATGAATACAGGAAACCAGCTGTGTTCAGCATTGCATCTAATAAGCTAAATAATGGCTTCATTACAGTGAACAGCTGGAGAAGAAATGAGAGGAGGTTAGACACGCATGTTGTGAAGGTAGGAAGTGTAGTGAGCTTAGAGCTTTTTTATGTTATTCTGTAGGCAACAGTGTGCCATTGAAGGTGGAGCAGGGCAGTCTGGTGATCAAAGTTGATCTTCAGAGAGTCAAGGAAGAAAGTCAAACTATCGAATGGACTGCAGTAGAGAGGGCAAACCATTTGAAACTGCAAGGGATTTTTGTTTGCATGCATGAAAAGAGTTCTGTACACATCTGAATTCTGCTGAGAGCAAAGGGTTAGTTGCTAGTTACAGAATCAAAACAAAACTGCCGCAGGTAGGAAAAACATCCTGAGAGCAGGTTCTAATCAAAGCCCCAAATGTCATCATTTCTCATCATGCTTACAGATCAGTATTGGACCATGGCTTTTTTTTTTTGCCTCCTTCTTCTAGATGTTTTCTGTGCTGCTGAGCTGGTATCATTCATTTTGAAGCTCGTGTTACTTGACTCTGTAACCTTGGAATGTTTGCTTGAAATTTGATTGTATTCTAGGGAAACTTTGCTGGAATCCCTTCCCTGGCCAAACTTACTTTAATTATACAGGAACCCACCTGTCTGGGAGCCTCTTAAAGCATTCGTTCTGACACTGGCTGTCAATGTACCTGGTGGTCAGTATAATTGCTTGTTAGTGTCCATGCCATCAGAAAGGAGGGACAGAATAACCATCACAAGGAAAACCTCCCTTCCTCTGTCCCTGTTAATCCAGAGTCCCCAGTAACTTACAATCTTGCTACTGCTTTGCAGAGAGACCAAGACCAAATCATCCTTTCTTTTTATCTTTTCACAAGCATTGAATGCCCACTGTGTGACAGGTGCCACCCAAGGTATCTGAAATGAAGGACTGTGCGACAGAAATTTTCATAGTGAAGTGAGGAGGGACAGATATTTCTAGGGATAATTATTTCTATGTTTTGTTTCAGAGGAAGTTATACCCATCTAATCTTAGAGTCCATGCCTGTGAGAAGCTTCAGTCTCTCCTCATTCCGCACTCTTTCTTTGGATGTGCCAGTCACACTGCTCTCATTTCTGATAGCATCATGCACCTATGTCAAAGGGTTCTGTGTTTTCCCCTTCTGCATGAAGAAATCTCTTTATCTGCTCTGGCTTGCCTCCACTCGTTCTTTGGAATGTCTCTTGGCATGTTACTTTTATGAAGAAGCCTATTTCATCCTCTGAGATGCAATTTTCACCCCTTGTTAATCCGATGGCTCTCCAACTTTTGTCAGTCTTAAAACTGAATATCATCATAATTTTCTTTGTTTCTATTTTCCATTCTAGACTCTAAGCTTCATGGGGAAAAGGAGCATGGCTGATTCATTCAATTGTGGTAACCCTACCACTGCCTAACCCATAAAGGGCACTTAGTACATATATTTATTTATTGAATGAATAAATATTAGGTGGTAAGTACAATTATTGAACTTATGCATTGAGAGGAATAAATGCAGCCCAGCATGTCTTCAGAACCAGAAATCACTAACCATGAGCTAAATACCATTGACTATGATGGTAAAAATTGCTTACGCTTAAGAAAAAGTTTCAATGAACCTCAGAAGAAATGGTTTTCAATGCAAATCTAATTGTGAGAAAATAAAACAGGAAAATTTCAGTTAAAGAATATTTACCTACTGAATAAATAGGACAACCAGTGGTTGTTTCTTGTGTTTGACTAACTTACATATAATCCTTTCTGATGTGAATTAACATTCCACTGCCTCATTTAGTAATTTCAACACTTTCACAAAGATAAAAATTAGTATTTACTTCATTTAATCTTAATTTTTATCAGTGTACCTGTTAGACGCTGTTCAACTCACTTGTTTTAACTTAAAAAGTTTTCAGTTATATTCTCACTTTAAACTTTCAAATTGTATCCTCACCATGCTGTCTAGTTTAGGCTTTCATAGTCGCTAACTTTAAATGGATAATGGCCTTTGCTGTTTCTGTTGTTCATTAGGTTACATGTTTGTTATACTTCCTTAAGGCTGTGTTGGTTGGTTCTATGTTAACCTGATACAAGCTAGAGTCATTTTGGGGGAGGGACTCTCAATGGAGAAAATGCCCCCATAAAACCAACCTACAGGCAAACCTGTTTCTTGATTAATGATTGGTGTAGGAAGGCCCAGAGTACTATGGGTGGTGCTAACCCTGGGCAGGTGTTCC